CGTTTTAAATTAGTGTACGGCACAGTTGTCGGATCCTACGGCAGGCCCCCTCTATTCACTGACTGAACGCGCATTCTAGACCAGCGAAACGACTAATAAAAGTGGTTGAATGTCGTCAACCTTCAGGCGAAGTTAGAGAGAGAAATTGGAAAGAAGATATCATGTGGAACATGCCTTATGATCCTTCATTTGTTGCAATTTAGTCTAATAAAATATATAACATGGTAGACTTCTCATGTTTAATTCTATTCCGAATGTCCCACGTGGATACTCATGTAGCATAGAATGTTGGCGAGAGGCCGTTCGGACCAGTCAATTCTGGCTCTTCTCCACATTCAGGCTCCACTCTGATTGCAAATATTCGAAGGACACACAAAAACATCAAGTTTATTCTCAACAATTCCAATATCAAAGTTGATCTGTTGTGCCGTCTTAAAACTTCAAATAACATCCATTTTGGTCTCTACATGTCTTCATTTCTCTGTAAACATCATTAGGAAGCCTTAAATGCAGACTCGAAAACCCAATGTCGTTTCATTTATTTAGTGGATATAGTCGGATTCGGATGTTCTTTGGCAGCCAATACAGAATTGGACAGAAAGCTTTAAACTATTTTGAACACAAAAAACAACTAATAGGGAAGTTCTACGCCTATAGTGCACTCAGGGGCGTGGTGTGCTTATGCAGTGTCCAGTCCTATAGGAAATGTTCCTTTCTGAAAGGTGGAAATTCAGAGAAAAGGCTTTTGATTGGCAATTGTTTTGGTCTGTGCATCATAATTCCAATGCCTAGGTAAGAACATCTTCCTACTTTCCCACTTCTCACTTGCTTACACAAACCTCCACAGAAGAAAATCTGCAGAAAATCTACCAACCTACGCCTTATCAAGCTTCCATTTCCAACAACTGGTAAACGAATGAATTGAATTGAATTGTCTTTACTCATTATCCCTCGAAATTTGTCACTTATATTGTTATCTGCTGATTCGTCAAAACCCACGCTTGAAGAAATGGACAATTGCTTTGCTCAACTTTAGCAAGGTTTTTTCGCTTCATTGATGTGGTCATCGTTATTTGAATAAGGATCCTTTGCAAAGTTATAAAAATATAAGAAAGAGTACTTGCCATTGACTCTAATGTAGGACACTCCAAACTGGCTCAAGTCATTGTGGAGACTACTTTTTCTCCAGTTTGGTTAACCCACTTTACAGGAAAAGGGTTTCAGTGTAAAGCAAAGCAGACTATCCATACCTTTCGTGGCCTTCGGTTCCGCTTCCAGTGCAACTGCATGTATCGTCGTACTAACGGAAACAAAGAAAACTAGCAGCTTTACCGTCCAAGGGACAAATCGGGCAAATTCCTTTTTAGCTTGACTAATTGGTACACATTCAAAACACTTGCTAGAGGATGCGAAAGGTGCAAAAGGCTAAATCTCACTGCAAAGTTGATTTTCCGACTTGAGAATCAGAAATATCTGATACCCATTCCATACACCTCTGATGTGTTTAAATGCATTTTTTAGACGTGGCCTGTCATGATTTCTTGCAGCAGTCATAGGAAGGATTTACTTCCGATCAGTTTTACTATCCGCTCTGTAGTATAATTGTCGCATTTTTACTCCGGTTTGGAGCAGGAGCTTGGACGTGAAGCGGATTAATGATCCTATCAAGATAATGACACTTCGATTGACTCAAGTACATTCACTACCATTTCCTTGGCTTTTAGCAAATATTTTTTCATTATAGTTCAGTGAACTGCTCCAGAAAGAGGGCTATCCGGATGATGTAAAAATTTGTGGTTTTAAATCTAAAAATGAGAAATAAGCCGCCATTGACCAACATTACCAAAAGCACCCAGTAAAGAATCACCTCACTCAAACAGGTAGCCTGCGACAATTGTACTAGCAATTCCCAAATTAATGCCACGATGACTCAAAAGTCTTGAAATGGTTTTTTGTAGACATCGAGAGGGCTTACTTATCCCGTCCTCTGCCGGCACATTGTGCTATCATATCATTCCAAGTTAGATGGCGCGCAAAGTCACTGGAACACCCCAACCGCCAGTCCCTTCGCCGCCAAAGTAACCATTCAAAAGCCAAATTTAATTTCTCTATTCTCTTCCGTTCATTTTTTGGCATTTTAAAGTTACTTACGTAGACTGTCATTCAGTCGCTGTATGTTTTTTTTTTTATTTCGCATCGTTTTTGTCCCGATGAGTTCTTTTAGTTACAGAAATACGAAAGCTGACACAGAACACTCACCAAAAGTTAACGCGACTTTACCGAGCCACTTATCCATTGGCTCATAAGGATCTGACGGCCATTAACTGTACTCAACACTGATGTCTGGAATATTTTCATTGTCAGCACATAATCATGCTTGCTTTACCTGCAGTGATTGGCATTATGCGGTAACGATTTAAGCCTCATTTGAGGGCCCGATTTTCATGCATTTCCAAGGCATATTAAAGCATCAAATGCCACCCTGTTCATAAGTATAACAAATAAAAAAGTGGTATTATTACCAAAACTCCAAAAGTGCAATGGAAGAGAACAGAGGACAAGAAGTTCGACATTCTACTTAAAAGTCGGTAGGTATGAACCGGATGAATGAATGGCCGCAAGGAGATTGTCAAAGTTTATCAGATCGCTAAATATCTACAAGGAAAAGCAAGAAGCAGACAAAAAAAGAGCTGTGAGCCGTGAACAGTCGAACGGGGCATCAGTACTGTCACTTATTGAATTCAAAGGCGCTATTAAGCGTTACAAAATTTCTCAACTGTTCGCATCCCATCGTTCACTGTCAGCCCCTTGAATCTGCACTTCAGAAGTCGACTTTAAGCACAACAGCAGTGCGCATTGAATGATCCAAGCGTATGTAACTTCACTGCCCATCGCAATATGGCAAAACGCATTTTAAACCAATGTCAACTTCTTGAAGCCGGATGTCTGTCGACATTGGTCAAAGCAGAATTGCGTGGGCAGACAATGATGGTGCACTTTTCTTACAAACAAACCAGACGGCGAATTCACTAACAAATGCCCTTATTTCTTTGCAGTTACTACCTCCGACTTTCAAGGTGAATTCATCACAGTTAGTGTCTAGCCTTTGATTTCCAATGCGCCTATTCTTGCAGGCAAGAGCAGCATTGGAGAATTACAGATTCGGAAAATTACCATGAAAGGAAAGCTGTTGTCGAACGTTTTGAATCCTGCTCGTCTGCTCACCCAGTCACCAAGTAAGGAAAAGCTTGCCAACTAAAAGAATTTGAGCGAAATGAAAACAAAGATAGTAGATCTGAAGAGCATTTGCCCATTTAAAAAGCGAATTTAAACAGCTCAGTGGAAATACAAAAAAAATTCCGCGTAGCCGTCGAATCTGTAAAAAATCGCGCATTCGTTGTCAGGATCTGATCGTCATCTTCGACGGGAACTAGGTGAAGATCCTATAACTTAATTTTGAGATAACAACTCTAACATTCTAAAGCGACCTGGATTTTAGAAATGACATTTGTATTTTCTCCCGAAATTAGATACATCTCTGGTGGATTTAAAACAAGTGCCCAAAATTCGAGTTCCTTTCCTTTTGACCGTAATCGTGGCAATGTGAGAGCCAAATATAGAGACAAGTACCAAAACAAGCTAAATTCAAAATAATGAATTCTAGTCCTGATGCTTCGTGGACCGAGCCTCATCTAGTGCTTAAAAGTTATTAAACTAAACTATCGCATGGTTATGGAAAATGTAAACTCGTTTCATCAGTCAACTTCGAGATGAGTGGAACTGAAGAGCTCAAACCTCGATGTCTGGCTTGCCGGATTCAACCAAAGCAAGGCTCCAAAGGGACATTTCACATCTGCGCAGTTCCTCCGCTGGCACAGCACGAAGCCTAAAAGAGAAATGCGCAATAAAGAGGCCCAAAAGTCCACTTCCATCCCGCTATTCGTGCATTATCGGTAGCAAAATGTAAAGGATAGGCAGTCTTTAACGCACAAGTTTTTCTTCAATGCAATGATGAGTATTATGAAATGTTTCTGACCTGAGTTTTTCACTGCTGCGCTACCTTGAGTGGTAGGAAAGAATAAACAATTCGAGAAGGCGTTCACCAGTGGACAAAATCCCAAGTCACTTAAAAGCCCCACCTTGAAAAGGGAAAGCCTTTCCCAAGGGTTTGCGTGATAAGACAGAATACAAAAAGGCAGCTTCTACCCACTTAGGATCCATTAACATGTTTTGAGTAAACCTAACGTAGGTCAAATTCAATAGGAGCTTTATTAAGCTAAAGAAGGATAGTGAAAAACACTCCTAGGTAGCCCTAATCAAAGAATTAAAATAAATGTTGGTATTGTTTCGGTTAGTCCTCATTCTCACCCCTTTTGTGGATCATCGCTCTGGAAATGAGAATTCGGCAACAGAAGAAAATATCCATTTTGTGGATTTCAACTGCTGCGAAATGACGGGACCATCACGCAGATCAAATCTGATTGCACTTCGACCTGATCGCTGAGAGAAAACGCATGATAGCCTGCTTTATGAAGCAAATCACAAATGGACGTCATTGCGTTAAGTTGAATGTCTCAGCACAGGAACTGCAGTTTTCAATATTCTTAACAAAAGCCAGAAGTACTACCAATTATTCTACATGAAAGTATTACAATGAATGCACGTACTCCTACCTTAGTTGAGTTGCGAAATCCGCTATTTTCCAAGTTTGGCAGGTTTATTATCAATATCAAGCTTAAATATCTCATTGTTGAAAATGACGATACTGCAAGTCATCCAATTTTTTGCTAAATTCAATTGGTGCCGTGAAATGCCAAAGTACTGTCGTTCCTAGTTCACAAACAGGTTCCACCAAATTGTAGTGCTTTAGATACAATTAATCTGTTTATCCTAGGATTTGGAGTGACCGGTCACCATATACTGGCGGAAGACAAACGTTTACCCTTAACACCATATTGGATAAGCAAATCAGTGCCGCTTAAAGGTGATAATGAAGTCATTGAAAAGAGCCTAATCTGTCAGGTAAAGCGTTTACTCATGCGGTAAATATTGAATGAAGTGGCTGTAGGAACACATTTACAGCTCTGATTCAACAGAACTTGTGGATGTTCTTTTAAATAACCTCAACTCGTGAAAAAAAACCGTAGCTACGGGAATTCGGATACAGTCAAGCAGCAGAAAATGCTAGAGGCCATGCGTCACGTATTTCTGATACCAGACCCAGGAGCGGATTACGAAGCGTTAACTGTAAGAATCATGAATGCTTCAGTAAGTGGAGGCGTGAAAAATGGGGTAGAGGCAAATATGACTATTACTTCAGCTCTCAACGATTGGAGATGAAACCAGTTTATTTTTCAAGGAAGGCTTTAATAATTTCATAGCATATGATAAAATAAAAAAAATCTGACTTCCACATACTTTGGGCTTAATAGAATTCACTTTGCACACACACTTTAATTTCTCTGTTAAATGTCTGCAGTGACCTGACAAGAGAGAAAATGGCCCCTGTGACATCTTACTTTCACATATAAGCCAACCAAATAATCCAATGAAAATGGAGCACTGCTGTTGATGGAAGCTGGTTAGGAGAATTAAGGAGTGGGAGTAGAAAAAAGAAGTGGTTACCGTAGCCTCCAATGTGGCTGAGTTTTGCTCCAAAACTGGCTGATTGTTGTGGCTAATTTGTCGAAAGTGACCGCCGAGCTGTCTTCGTCTGGCTCCAAGCAGAAAAGCGACACCTGAAGAATTTCGGCATAATGTAAAGGCAGGAAGAATAGTCTCCAAATTAATGCAAAGGTCGTTTACTCAAGACATCAGAAAATCCAAGCCCAAATATGGGCTAAGGTAGTGAGAAAGGGCTACGGAGAGACTGTTCGAAATTACTCAAATTGGTGTGCCTAAGGTTCAGTAATATCAACACTTTGTCTAGACCGTGTTACAGAATGGAACGGCGTAAAGAAGTTGTCAAGACGTCGTCTTGACGTATGTAGGGGTAATCTTTTCATTTACGTAAAAGCAATACGACTTTAACTTTTCTCCAGCGATGGTGTGAAGCAACACTACAGCTTTCATGGACCACAATGCGCCTTACAACAAATTTCTTGGCTAACCGAAAACACATACCGCCACCCTCAGAGAATGGTTGGTAGTAGCAATAATAAAAAATGGCAAAATGAAAGGTCTATTACGGGAGCTACAATCATGGATGTCACCGAATATTTGTGCTCTCTGTTGCAGCATGATAAATGGCAACGAAATTGTATTCTATGAAGTCGTTCCAATATTTCTTCATTCTATACCCTCATTCTTGTCAAAGAAAACGTGGACCGAAAGTATATCACATTCTCATTATAAGAGGAAGAGCGATCACTTTGTCTCCAAATTTTCTATTTGTGAAAAAGCAATATTATTAGCCTTTTTTGGCCTTTTTAATGTTTAGCACACTGAGACGTGAAAATTGAAAATGACAGGAAGAAGCCGACAAAGAAGGAATACCATGGGTATCTGTAGCAATACAATTTTGCGTACCTGACGAGTTTGTTTAAACGGATATAATGTTGGGTTCTTGGTTTTGGAGGCTACAATTAAAAAAAAGTATTTTCAGTGAATACCAAAAATTTCCCAAATATGAAGAATGAAGTAGTCATTCCTGTTTAAAAAAATCGGGTTTGATAAGGTTAAATTCAGAACAAGTTTTCAATGTTACGTCGGCAAATGAGCCGGATGGCATCTGCAAACAATAAACTGGAAGTTTATGGATGAGATGCCCGCAGATTTATGCTAGAGACTTCAAGTACACAGCACAAATGCGTGTAGAGATTTGGGCACTAAATTGCAACGAAATTTCAACTTCGCATTAAACGCAATCAAAATGGGTAAAATTGCCCACACCTATGTGGAGATATTAATAGGTACAAAATTTCAGACATCTAAAGGGAGCAGCTTCAATGGATAGTACTTCTTCCTTCCCATCAACTCTGCCTTTGCTCCTATTAGTGCTGTACGTTGATATGGTACCTTTTTCCCAATCGAAAAGGCTGTAATTGTACCGATTAGATAGTTTTCACTTACCGTAGGTGTAAATGTTTCCCAATGTGAGAAAGCGTAGCGGTAGAGGACATTCTTTATCCAGACAACATCCAAAAAAGGAACCTTGGGGCAAAGCAACAGTAAAACACATTTCGCTTTTTATCACAAGGACAAATAATGCGACGTACAAAGAAAGCAAGGTGTAACTGGCCAGGCCGATACTTACATTAAGTTTGATTTAAGTTAGGGAACCACTTACTAGACAATTAACGGTTTTTATAAACGGCTAGGGATCCGGACAATTCATGGTAACGTATTGCTTGAGGCCTTCTCTCGTGTACAAATGCATCAAACAGATTGGGTATGAATGGCGACCTACTGCCACAGTTACATTACGCGTATGGGGATAATCAGGGAGCCACAATGACATGTACCGACAAATGCGGCCAGACTTGCTGAACCGACAAGACAAAGTCGAGTATAGGGATTGATGAGTGTCTGTCCTCCTTCCTTCGGAATGAAGACATCATCCTTTGTATGCTCAAGTTGTATCACCTTTGACAGAGAATAAAAGTAATAAAGATTTCATTAATACGTGTCATTCAGCTAGGAGAGCATGAGAAGAGGTGCGCCCTTATGCCATTCATATTTTACAAGAAATAAACCGAGGTTAGTGGAACTATTCAAGAAACTAATCTAATGGATGTACACAAACCAGTTAGGTTATTCGATAATGGAGTGGTAATAGACTGTATTACACAAAAAATGCCATTCGCAGATGGCCGTCCCTAAATATACCGAGCATAAATCACGTCATGAAGTACTTTGCAACCATTATATTGCATATATGTGTAATTTAACCATCAAGTGGCTAGAATAGAATTTGGCTTGACCAAGAATGCATTTAACTCGATTACCTGGAGGAGTACAGTAAAATTAAGCTGTCATATTGGAACAATTTATTCTGATTGTCCAGGAGCCTGTACAGTGACTCTGAAAAGTCAAGTCTCATCACATTGTTTCCACTTCAATGCAATAAGCTGAATCCGCAATCTAAATTGGAATCTTTCACTTAAATTAATTGCACTCATAAATTTTGTTTTGGTTTATGGTTGACAAACAAAACATTCGCACTGCTCACAAGTTATTAATGTTAATCTACGCATGAGTGAATATGGATACTGGATTATGAGCTCCAGTCAAACTTCACTGCTATTGTGACAGAAAAACACACATATGACGACTTCTAATGCACCACTTGTAGTTCAGACGATGTCAAGTCCAAAAGCAGTATAGATAAATTTAGCTCACATTAAAATAAGAAGCTTCAAGAATTTTTTTAACCTTTCGGAACCGTCTTGAATAAGTTCAAGAGACAAAAAAGATGTGAGTACACGTGAAGTACAACGGGATTTAGCCATTGCGATCACGTTAAAGTACACGTCCCAACATTCCACTGCGCTAGGATGACATTCTACATGTTCAGTGGTAAAGTTGAAAGCCTCACACCTCATTTTATAAAGAAGTAACTCTGTAGAAATTGAGAAAGATTAGCTTTACGTTCTGGAAACCCACTAAAAAGTTGAAATCACTGACCTCGTCAAGAGAAGGCGTCCATGCGCAGGCCTCAGCAACCGGTAGACGAACCAGGTCTGAGAGTGCGCATCGGCGGGGCGTGCTCCCCAATACCATTTTCACTTCTCGACCAAGAAGTGTTAAAAGACTTGACATCTCTTGGGTAAAAGTGGCAAGCTGTCCTGTGAAGAAGGTTCCACAGTCCCTTTAAGTGAATAAAGTTAAATAATTGCTGGACCCCCAAATTAATACAACACTTGAAAAATTAAAGGGACTTTTAATGGAGATCTTAAAAGGTTGAAGATATGATTTTTAAAAATCAATAGAATAATCAAAAAAAGATGAAAGTCAATGAACAGTTATTCCCCTTTGCACTTTTGTTAATAGTTTACTAGCATTTTATAAAATACTTCTTAAGATACAATAAATGCTCTAAGGTGCGCAGTGAAACAAAAGGACTTGAAAAAGGAAGCGGAAAAAGGAGATCATGCAAAAAGCAGAGTAGAAAAGAAGAGAGAGTTGTGTTTGTCTTTGTGATTGACAGTGAACTAATATTTGTTGAAATTTGCCTTCAGCGAGCCCAGAGCCTAACGCTTGAGCAACTTTAACTAGCTGTTACAAGACACCATAGTAGACGAAGAGAAGCACTCTTTTTGGGTCAGGCCAATTGAAAATGAGGCCAACAATCATTTAGAGAAATCAGCTACACTACCCAAAAGCCGATGACTGCCCTCAAATCTAAGTACAGTCGCAAGATGCTTCAGAATATAAAGAGTGCAGTGGCACGGTGCCTTATTCTGAGGAGCGCCTTTCTGTCCCACTAGATAATGCGAAATAGGTGAGGGACGGTAATCCCAGACGGATATGAGATTGTTAACATCTCTATCACTTGATTTCCCCATTAACCCTCCAACCCCAAATCTTATTGGTGAGATCAAACAAGCTTTCTTAGTTGGTACAACAACCACACACGATTCCTGTGAGTTTGAAAATTATTGAGACATGAGTGTGACATGGTAGGAGGCGATGTAATTACTCACTTATAAACGATTAAATTGTCCAAGTTGGCGGTCCTAATGGCGCCAGGAGAGAGAACCGTGCATTTGGAGGAATGGCCGAACCAGCTTTCAGACGGAAGGGCACTCTATTAGGGTTGAAGTGGGGCTAACAATGTAAATCAACCTAACCGATGTGAGAAGAGAAATTGTTGCTCTAAGCTCAAATTAACAACTGGCTTTAGCATATAAATGTACATGCAAAAGGTGTTGTCACTCAGAAAGCTTAATTAGAATAGCAGCTGTTAAAACTAAAACGGATATTATGGTATCGAACCTACTTAATGTAAAAAGAATGATCCTTAAATAAAGCATGTGTTGAATTTGAATGCGAGCAACTGAAATTGCGTAATGCGGAGCAAACACAACAGAATTATGGATAAAAAATTTGAATCCTACAGTGCAAAAGTAGGAAATGAGAGTCAAAAGAATAAAAGCCGAAGAGGACATCAAACTAAAGAAGAGGATAGGGAAGCCAACCAAACCGATTAATCTCCAACATTTTCCTTTGACCGAAATCAACAATGCATGCTTCAGTGGATGGCCATACTGGTAGCAAAAGCTACGGGAAACGCACAGCAATCCTGTCAATACCTCGGCCCACAAAAGGGGCGACGTTTGGAGAAGGAGAGTACTGGCACAAATTAGGTAGGAAAATGTTGAGTCCAGTTGAGTAATGACGACGCTGACTGGATAATCAGCCCAACGAAAGGCGCGAAATACACGAATAAGCTTTGGATTTTAATTATTGTTGTCATCCTAGAGCTGATAGTTCAGCAACAACTTCAATTCAGTAGGTGTTTCTTGAAGCTTATGATCGCAAAATTTTTTAGATTGCCACCGCAAGAAAAAACATGGAGACTTTTTCCAGGACGGTGTAATCTTAAAGAACTGACGCAAACTAAAAATACACTCTCTTTTGAAGAATTACAAAAGGATGCAGCACTTGATAAGTTCCGACTTTCGAACGACCATCGTTAGTACCTTCTACAATATAGGTTAATGGTGTTTGTCAAATGAGTAAGGACTTTCAAAGTTAACAAATAAAGCAGCGACCTCTTCTACGCTAGTGACGTGAGAGGACCTCGACAAAACGTGATTTTCAATCCCCAAAGCTCTCTCGCTCTCTAACGTGTCGTAATTGATCACACCAAGAATAGCAATGGAGATGATGGCCATATTATACACAAAAACTACCATAGCAACGATTTATTAGATTTTTATTCGTAATTAGTAACAGACACGTTGAGTTACTCTAATGACGCGTGCCTGTGCGAATGCGTGAAAATGAAAATGCCAATCGAAATTCAGTAGTAGCCAGGATTCATACGGGTTGTACTGGTCTTGAAACCTTGTTACCAATCTTTCATTCTCAGGTGTAGAGGTCTTTGATTTGGTAAAATTTTAAGCTAGTAATCCAAAAAGCAATTTCGGCAAAGCCGCAAAACTGGACTTCCTTATGTATTCAAAGTCTAGTAAGAATTTGGGAATGTTCTATCACTGACACGAGAGTTTTCAGATATGATTCAAGTGGTAGGATTAACCGGGAAATTTATTCATCCAAGCGCAAATGTAAACAAAAGTTTTCCCTTAATATGCAATGAGACGTGTGTTTTCGTAAGCATGGAAAAGCGACGGGATTGGGAAGAGACATTCGCAGCACTAAGGCTATACCAAACACCGTTGCGCAAAACTAGTTCCACAAACAGGCCTACAGAAATCTACCTCAGAGCCATAGAATTATCCTTCAACATTTCAAAATTAGAAAACAATACTTGTTCCCACATTCGAAAATACTTGAAGCCTAGAAATTAGATGCGTTTTAAGGATTAACGCAATTCTGTGGCGGCAATGATTTCCCAAGGGCACGTTGCACCAAATGATGGCTTTAGCAAATTTTGCTAGGCTAAATGAACCTACTCGACGTCAAAGAATCGAACCATTTGCCTCAGAATAAGGCACAATAAGCAGGAACTCCTTCGATTTGATAACTTACACAAAATGTGGAAACATTTGTAATAAATCGGAGAAAAGAGCGTTCCTCTAAAAGCAAGTTTAATCAGCGTTAAATAGCTACAAGCTGCCGTCATGCCTAAATGATCACGTCGATAAAACTCATTACAACCCAGTCTAGGCAACGTTAAACAATGAAATATGAACCGAGATTTTTTCTCCGCATCCATGTTTACATAGTGACCTGTGCCACTACAAAAGCATGCGTAGTCGAAGTTAATAGAAGCGTACCGAAAACAGTCGGGATGGGAATTTAAGAAAAGACCAAAAAGGATGCCAGACTTTGGAGTATTTATACCATTCTGCAGAGGGCAAGATAGTCTTAATTCGAGACAAAAACACCTACCTCAGTTTCTCGCAGTTTATTCGGCAGTTTTAAGAGATCCTCCATAACCTTGAAAGAGATAGTCCTACGAAGTTGGCTGCACCTATTCTTCGCCTCTTTAACGCGTTTTGACGCTGCACGAAGCCGATCTTGACGCTAAGATAAAAAGGAAAACTGGAAAGAGCCTTCAGACGCAGCAGCCCAGATAAATTGTTGCTCTGGCATGACACGGCATTGGCAACATCAGATTGGCCACCTCAATCACTACCCAGAAATATGCAACTCCAACCTACCCTATATCGCAGATAGTCTACTCCACTTTCGCGCCCTTCAACTACATCAAACTGCTCCCTATAGGAATTGGAACATCCGGCTATTATGGATAGAGCCGCAATGCCACACGTATGCAGTGTCGGTGGCTAAGATCCTATTGCTACCACATTCAAGGCTTTAGTACATTATTTCTAAAATGATTCCCGTGCTACCTTCAAATACTTCCCACGAATGAACACGTGGAGTTTCATGCTCCTCTCCTCAATCTCACTACTATCACTACTGCAGATGTTGATGTTGACGATGGTCACCACTTTTATTGCACTGTCTAGGGCCGTCTGCGATACTGCCATCCTCCGCCTGGGATCGATGCCACCGACTATCAGTTGATGGGAGCCACGGAGCGATTGGGGGAGGAAAACAAGAAAATAATGAGTGAATTGATGGAAAGTGAAAAGGCCAAGTCGTTCCTTCGACTCTCAGCCTATCTAGCACCCACAGAACTGCACAAACTGTGGTTTAGACGACTTGTCGATTGGTTGTTGCCTGTGATAAGCGTCCGACGCAAGGGTAATTTAATGCTCGCAAAGAGGCCGGCTCAGCTGCAAGCAGATGATGAACGAGAGCTAATTTCCATCTAGATCCATTGCTAAGACAAATTCAATTCCTCTTCAGTCTCTCTAAGTAATAGCTAATTTAACCGGATAAAGTTCAAGTGTCTCTCAACTGCAAGAGTAAGAAAACTGACCTCCCCATCGCCCATCTTGCTTGCTTCCTGGAATTCCATGTGAAGGTTCTGGCGTTGAATTTCTAGCCGCTTTATCTTCTCCTCACAACTGCGAACCACACGAGTTTGGTCAGTCTGAAAATATTAACGCTTAACAGTATTTGAAAAATGAAGGGATATAAAGTTTGGGCCAAATCCTTTACGCTTTGGACCATAAACTAAAAATGGCTGATGTTCCTTCATATGCTCACCACATGCTCAAAAAATCCACGGTTGAATTTGTTGGCCAGACCTCGGCGCTGAACGCTGTGAGTTAATGCGGTCGCATTGAAGTCCGGCTGAGCTTCCACGGAAGGCGTAAACCTCTCGCTAATCCGATGCAGTGTGGATCCAGTAGGTAGTACCGCAGATTTAAATGCTGGTGTGGTCAGCTTCCGCCAAAAAACTTGCCAAATCAACATACTTTGGTCTAACGAACAATATTAAGATGTTTACTGATAACAGTAAAGTAGTCTATATTTCAGAGTACGTGAGCCATAGATTAAAAATGATAAGGTACCCTTAAATGCTAAGGTGTTACTTTGCCGCGGCTCATAAGCGATGTCATACCACAATGAAAGGCAACCCTGTAGGGCATAACATAGCGTAGACCTCCTCCCCCTTCTATAACAAGTCAGCACCAAAAACCAATGCGCTCGACGTACAGTAATGCAAATGACATCCGTTCGCCTTTCACCAAGAAATACCACATCGCCTTTGGGAGAACCTAGTTAAAGTGTTAAGTGAAATATTTAGGTGAATTTTTACTTTGCTCAGAAATTCACCCCATTTTATGGGACAATTCAACTTCCTACCCCTTAATGACAACAAAATTGTGCCTCAAACCATTGGTTTTGCAAGCAAAATGTTTGCTTCATAACTCAAAGAGAATAAAACAGAATTCGGATCAGTTTTATTTACACTTTCCGATTTCGCGAGAACACGACAAGATGAGCCAGGGGAGGAGAGGGGGTAACAACGCACTCCATATTCCCGTATCACCCCACCTCATGTTGATCGAGGTCGGCGTAGATGCGTCGCAGTTTCTCCTTCTTCTTGCGATTACGCCCCACACCCACTGGGCCCACTTTTCTCATCTCCACCTGACTGATCTTTTTAACCGCAGAGAGCTGTCGCCAGGGCTTCTTGCCCACGGCTGAAGAGTTGGTGACCCCGGAAAAGAGGCTGGCCCCGCCCGCCGTCGTGTTCGACACTGTTGACCAGGAGGCTACTGAGGCGACATCGACATCATTGTCGCCCCCTAGGGCTCGTGGCATTGATGCAAGCTTCTTCTTGGAGCGAATCAGTGGATGTCCACCCACTGCTAAATGCTGTATGCAAAAAAGAGGCGCATTGGTGTAGTCGAAGTTGTTCACCATAATAAATAAAGCATTGACATCCAGTTAAGTGCTGTTGTTCGTATGATGTAGCTACGTACGCCAGATGCGCTGATACTTTAAATCGGTGATTCCTTTCAAGGTAGCATAATGCGTATTAAAGAGAGGAAAGCGACCAATTAAAAACGATGTTCGCAGTCACCTGCATAGTTGCCATAACTATTTCTACGTTTGCAGGTAGAAGACGGGCTAATTTGCTAATCGCAGAGGCTACTTATGTTTTAATGGGTAAATTTAGGAACACTCATAGTTCAACAATTAAAACTCGCACGGTTGTCACCTCCGTGTTTGTTCATTTGAACGAGAAAAATTCAACAAAGCCACGACCATGAGCAACCCCGACAACTAAGTTTGGCAGCAGGTACAAATAGAGAAGCAACCTGTGAGGTGAGAACAGTTTTGTCGAAGTCAGTGAGAATGACTGCTTCCTCCTCTCCTATCACTGTTCCCTTCTTCCTTTCTGAATCCCTACGATGATCTCGTAGGGACTGCAGTCTAAACCACAGTTTGTGCAGTTCTGTGGGTGCTAGATAGGCTGAGAGTCGAAGGAACGACTTGGCCTTTTCACTTTCCATCAATTCACTCATTATTTTCTTGTTTTCCTCCCCCAATCGCTCCGTGGCTCCCATCAACTGATAGTCGGTGGCATCGATCCCAGGCGGAGGATGGCAGTATCGCAGACGGCCCTAGACAGTGCAATAAAAGTGGTGACCATCGTCAACATCAACATCTGCAGTAGTGATAGTAGTGAGATTGAGGAGAGGAGCATGAAACTCCACGTGTTCATTCGTGGGAAGTATTTGAAGGTAGCACGGGAATCATTTTAGAAATAATGTACTAAAGCCTTGAATGTGGTAGCAATAGGATCTTAGCCACCGACACTGCATACGTGTGGCATTGCGGCTCTATCCATAATAGCCGGATGTTCCAATTCCTATAGGGAGCAGTTTGATGTAGTTGAAGGGCGCGAAAGTGGAGTAGACTATCTGCGATATAGGGTAGGTTGGAGTTGCATATTTCTGGGTAGTGATTGAGGTGGCCAATCTGATGTTGCCAATGCCGTGTCATGCCAGAGCAACAATTTATCTGGACTGCAACCAGTGACTGCTCGCTAAGTTCCTTGACTTCCAAAAACCGTAAAACGATAAAACGGAACGAGCAATAGTTACTAGCTTCAAAATGCAATGTTTGTTCGGTTTTAAATGTCAAACATTTCGGGTTTGTAAGGAATGCACCCATTCGAAAGATCGGAACTGCAACGCCGAAACAATGCTCAATTTTCTGTTGATGGGGGCAAATGGAACGAATCGCTCGATGACTTACCTTAACATAGTCCTTAAGTATAATGCGAGCTGCACGGTCGTAATGAGGATTACCTTTGGCAGACATGAAGCCACGGATACCTGGAGATATAAAACATGTACTTTTCAAAATCCCATTTTTTTGGAATTTGATCTCTATGTAAGCTCTTATGCTTACGCATTCCGATCGCCGCTTATCGTGGCTTAAAAGGGGGCGTTTTATTGTACAAATTAAAACAAATAAATATGATGTGGATTAGGCTTGAGGAGGACCGTGGGGTAGCACTTTAACCTATAAACTATACAGGCATAGGCAGCAAGCAGTTCGTGAGGCGTTGGTGGTCGGTTAGGGTCCTCAAATTCCTTTGGCGGAGGGATGGAGATACCGTAGAGGGCAGTGAGCACCTCCCGTGGGATTTGCTCACAAATCTAAGAACGAATTCAGAAGTTACTTGGTGGCGGCCAAGCTTGTTCAGAATAACAAACTTTGCACGATTTGACTAAACCCATAGTTTCATAGCAAACTAGGAATATGAAACCGTATAACAGCAATCTAACAAGAAGTCCTAAAGTCAAACTCTCAATCGTTATAATACTTTGTTCATGTGAATGTCCTTCGAGCCAAGTCAAAGCCTAATCAACTCTTCTCCATCTAGCATACATGCATTCAGGTCAACTTAATGCCTTCTACCAGGTGGGAAGTCTTGGACGCCACACTGGTGATCCCATTCAGTAGGAGAAAGCATTAAGTTGGGCTGAATACATCCCATTTTTAAATATATTACTAGAAAATACAGAGAAATGTTGCAAGCACTTTTATTATTTTTCGGCTTTAATTTATGCATGACTTACTTTAACTAACCAGGAGTAGATTAAGGACTTACGATGCGAATTGGAGGAATACAATCCCGCATTTCATCAATCGAAAGAATACCGGCAACAACTAGATCTTCATGTGTATAGGCGAAGGAGGGCATCACCATACCTGGGCAGTCACAGAGTTGCAAATCTGGTTGGAGGAACATAGTCTGGGTGCGAAAAAACGAGGTGAGAAAGTGAAACGCAATGAAAGAGTACGCGGAAGCCCTGAGAACCCACCTGGAAGTGCTTTGTTTTACCAGGAGTTGCCGAGACAGGAGTCTTCTTTACTCCACACAGCGCATTGAGTGTGCTTGACTTGCCCACGTTCGGATACCCCAAAAATCCAACCGTAACATAGGGGCGACCTCTATGTTTCGTCCCAATTTGAGTCAATTCAGCTATCAACCCATGAACTGATAGTATGTCACAAATATTAACAACCTCGTTTTTCTCCTCTTCTGCGACGTCAATTGCACTGAACAATAAAATAAAATGCAGACATAACTTAAGCTTAATTTCAAATAGCATATGCACAGTCTGTGTAGCATTAGCCATGTGGTGAATTAGTAGTGGTAAATGAGGCTAAATACTATTAAAAATAAGGTGATTGAACTTAAGGTGATAATTATGACGAAAGATATTGTTAAGTGCTTTACATTTGTCCCGTTGTTAAGCAAAAAACACGACCAAGACCCACCTGTTGTACGACTCACTTGAAGCTCCTCTTTCGTCCTCCTCACTCTCACCTTGCACTGTCGAGGTTTCAGATGAAGTGAAACCCGATTCATCAAAATCATTGCACAGTTCAGCTATACTGAGAGAACCCTGCAGTTCTTCGTTCTCCAATCCTTCCTGGGTTTCTTCTGCAATGCCAGACTGATTAAGTCCTCCCTTGATATTTTGAACATAATGCTGGCCTTCGCTATTAATAGCAGAGAAGAATAGGACTCGAACGCCAATAGAGCCAAAGTACCTCGCCCAAACTTCCCTTTTTAAAAAATAAATACAGTTATACATACATTGCGTCAACAGAAAGCATATGTATAAGGACGGGAGACACCTCTGATCACAAGTTAAAAAGTCGGACTTGTTTATGAGAACTAGAGTTTCCTTATAGGGGTCAGTCTCCTTAACATAGTCATTGAGGCTGGGAGAAAAGAAGAGGAGAGGCTGTCGAGCGTCGACAACTTGAACTAAGACATCGCTTCTCTCCACCACTTGCCACAACTGACGCCAAAACTCTAAATTACGCTCATAGGGAGTTATTACAACCCCATCAAGCTGCTCCAACCTAAGAAAGAAGAACCATACTTAGAATTACATTCAAGCGATTGATTAAAAATAAACAAAAGCACTACTTAGCGAGATCTCGACGCCAAGACAAATAGGCTTCCTGTTCAGCATCAGCTATTTCCTCTTTTGTCATATTCCGATGTATTTTTGGTCTACATTAAAGCATAAAACCAATCAAAAGACCAAGTGAAAAAACCTTTTGAGGACAATTAGAGCACCTTTATTCTGTTCCATTAGCAGTTGACGCCTTTTCCTCTCCTCCAAAGTTATCATACCAACAATTTCAGCCTTTGACAAAACCCTGACATTTGGCTTCTCTACAAAAATTCAGAAAATACATGCGCATTACGAGCTGCAAAGTCCTTATTAGAAAGATTTGCAGTATGCAGGAAATCATCCAAAGTCGTCTCTTGAGTAATGGATTTTGCAGGAAGACGACACCAATCAGAGGACTCTTCAAGAGTATCATACGTCTAGAGGGGACAATAGTGAAAATACCAGACGCTTACAAAGGAGTTCCTACCATTACGTTTGTTCTGACGAACGAGAGCTCTTCCAAGCTCCTTTTTTTTTGGCATGACCAACAAAACCTTGAGTACGATTGGTTAACTGGCGCTTTATGAATATTTGCAGATCAAGATTAAGTTAAACATGAGAGAAGAAAAATATTATCAAATCACTTAATAAACCTATAACTTAGCGAATAAAATATAAAAAGCTTTTTGGTAATAAAAATATATCTTACCAATATTTAGCACAACAGCGCTGTGTTTGAGTTTTGGACTCTATGCTACCCCTTTTTTTAACCTTTAACCAAAATATTTTTTAAGCACCCAATTAGTTTTAAATGGTAGATTTCTTGGAAAAGTTGTAAGAACATGTGAATTTTTGGTTTCATGAATTTTCACGAACCTTAACTGCACCGGTCAGTCGCGCTAAAACAACCACTATGAGAGGAAAGATCCCGGTGAGCCTAGTAATGATGCAGACATCCTGAAAGCCTATTAGGCAGCATCCTATTGCACTATTTTACAGCCAAGTATTCAGTTTTCTACGTAACACATATGCTGATTTGCAAGAGCTGCCTATTCGCCATCTAGTCCGTGAACCTCAGACCTCAAGAGACAGTTAGTTGCGATTGATTTATTGGGCATTTGTTATCGGGAAGGATGAGGAATGGGATGCGGATGAGGCGAGTAGGAGATACCAATTGGAGGGAGACTCCTCTTGGCTTCACGCACGTGATTCGCGTTCCAATCGGTTCCCGCCTCTCTCCTATATAAAGCCCAATTAAACAATCTAGTACATATTACATGTAAGAATAAATTGAGTTTTGACTTGGCATAAAAGGTCAGTGCTCACAAAAGATACAATGACAAATACAAAAGCGTGTGGTAGTCGTGCAGGCAGTTAAATAAACGAGATACTCAAATACCTCTCTCTCCCTTTAGAAAACATTTACGCTACTGTCCTCAGGGCGCTTCTCCTGCTAGCTGCAACATTTTTTGCACGACTACCTGATGTCTGGTCATTAATTTGGTAATCGTTTTCGGCCTAGAACGCGCATGCTGGCCTTCGGACCAAGCTAAGGCCATTTCTCCACTTATTCTTCTTCAACGACATGGAAACCTTCGGGGCGCCTCAGCAGCCATTACAACACAGTCGGTGCTGCAAAGAAACGCCAACGAGTTAGCCGCTCCAGACTGAAAAATTGAATTTAACCTCTTTAACGTCTCCGACAATATTTGGACTCATGTTTCGTGTAAAAGCAAGAATCGTGTCCTATATTCTGCTGGTCGTCAATAATGTCCTGAGAGAAACATCGTAAAACTTGTCTAGAACACTTGCACAACATGGGAAAAGAGGTCAGGCACACTCAAGGATGAAAGAAGGTTCAGTCAAAATGTCAGCGTCGACACCTATAAGTGGGTTTGGTATAGAGGAATCAGAATCGATGCCTTTCCAAATGACTCACGGCGGTGGAAGAAGGCATAAGTGAGGTTGGATAGATGTATTCTGAAGACGAGAGGACAAAGGGGACCCGAACGCGGCCCGAAGGCCAGCCCACGCGTACAGGGGCCAGACCATAACTCAAGTCACCACCAAACATCAGGTAGTCACATAAACAGTATTACACTGTCCCTCTCTTCCTTTGAGCGTTGTCCTCGGCGCTCCCCTTTGTACAACTCCCACGCCAGCCATCGCAACACATTCGCTACTACAAAAAAAACCACCCACGAGCCAACCGCGCCAGTCGACAGATGGCATGAGACTGAGAAACCGTG